GAGTGAGACAGTATGCCAGAATGGCACACTGAGACCTACTCCCATGCTGCCTTCAAGACCAGATTTCTTTCTTAGATATTTCGGCAGGTTCTGAGGCTCTGGATCTAGTTGGATTGTGTGTTTGTAGCAGAGATGTTAGTGCATGGCCAAGCATATCTTGGTAACCTAACTGCGTGTTGCAAGCAAAAGCAATGGGGTGAGGAAGTGTTATGAAGTTGTGGTGGTGTCTGCTCTTATAGCTACTCTAGAATCTAAAAGAAGAAGAAAATTAACTCTACCAGAACAGCATACCAGTGAGCGGACAGTCAGGCCTGCGGAACCCTTCTAGGACCAACCTTAGCTTAGAGGCAGCCTGTTTGAGGTAACTAAAATTAGTAGACTTCAGGACCAAGAGGGTCTGTTCCATCCCAGTCTGGTAGAAGGAAGGCTTTTTGCAGAACATACATGTACATCCACCCACTCACCTCACAAGCACACTTACATTCACTGATCCCTTATATATTAGCATGGACCCTAAGTCCATCCAATACCTATACCCAGAGACACTGGCACCAGCTCTGCCACTGAGTTTTCCCAGGTGCTGGTTTATCCTGTTGCCCAGTTTGATGTGTGGTGATGGTACACATACACACATAACGTGGGTCCCTCAAATAGCTGGTTTGTCTGTTAGCTCACACCCTGAATGGGCCTCTCCAGCTGTTGTCATGAGACCCTTGGGCTCCTCAGACCTGCCAACTTAGTTTTGAATCCTTAACCCAAAACCTGTTTTCAGATATCAACTTCCTGTCATGTCTCCAGATCCTGCTTTAACTAATCCTAGACCTTGATGAACCCACTCAAGGCAACATGAACCCATCCAGGGAATCAGGAGTGGCCACTGAGGGTCCCCCATCAAAATCTTTTTCACCCTAGCCCTGGAATAGTTGCTAATAGAAATGCACAGAGACAATTAAAAAATAACTGAATTTTTATGAAGAGCAATGTAAGTTAAAAAAAAGGCGTTTGACAAAAAACCCCCAAGCAAACAACAAACCCCTCTCCCCAAAAACCAAACAGCAGTAATAGAGTTCAGTGCAGATTTAGGAATAAAATAGGAGCAATGAGAATAGAAGAACATGGATTAAGAGAAGTTCAGGATCAGGACTCGGGACTAGCATGTCCCAGGAGACAACAGTCTATGGGGGAGACCAGAAACAAGCTTGGCTGTTAATAAGTGTGTCTGTCTTGAGTCAAGACGTAGCACATTTGGGGAAATCAGTAAGAAACCCAGGAGGAAACCCATCAATGTTTCGTCATGTTTCTGGTGGCTGGTCTGGATGCAACAACCATTTGCAGTAGTAACCTCCCCTTAACTGTTACATGTTGATGCTACCCACAGTTGGTTCACACTGCTGCAGACTGTTCTAAGGCTGACTTCAGTTCAGGTTGCAGCTGAAGACGCATCAGATTTTTCTGGAAGAATCCTTACCATGTCTTCTCTGACTGTCTCTCATATACTTCCCAGGCAGCTCAAGGCCTGTATAGGTACCACATTTAAACACAGTGGATTCGCTGAGAGACCTGTCTTTGTATTCACCACAGAAAATTCTTTCTTCATTCTTGGCTCTTTGCTCCATTGTGAGACTTATGGCTACACCAAAGAGTATTTTAACCAAGCTACACCATTGCATCTGCTTGTGACACAGGTGGCTTTTGGCACCCTTAACCTGATATAAGAGACATAACCAGTTTGAGATGTTCTTCTATATGGTAAGTCATAGTAAATTATATCTCTGGGAGGTGTTGGAGCCTTGCCTACCTCTACTGCCTAATGACCTTGCACTGCTTTCTCTACCCATCTGCTGCACTCGAGATGGGTGTGTGCTGTTTAGCAATACTGCACACCCACACAGGTTACATCACCGGGCAGAGGAGTCCGAAGGACAGTGGGTACCTGATTCCTGAGTCCTTAGGGCAGATCACAGTCCAGGAACACAGGAGGATGAACGTTAGAGCACATGTGATGATGACCATCTCCAAATTTGCATCTGAAATACTTAGTTTCCTCCTGGTGTTTGTTTCACTATGCTTCCCTGGACACTTTAAGGATGCCTTGGGGGTGTGAAGGAACAGAGGAACATGGGTTTATTAAGTCTTGGTAGCTGGTGTGAGGTATCCAACACACTCTGAGGATATGCTTTCCTGTAACAAAAAAAAAAAAAAATAAAGTCAACTTTCAAGAGCTGATTTCCAACATTTTTGTCCGTGGCCATCGGTAGCAGTAGGAGACATTACTACGTTTTGTCTTACCTGGACTCTCCACTGCAATGTGGTACACGAACCCGGAAGCTAAGGAAACAAGGACTAGCTTTGCCTGACAAAGTTCTGTTTCCACACAGAATTCGATGTGTGTTATCATTAACCCTCTTCCTGATTTTGGCTGGGATGACAGTTTTTTCACAAGTCTGCCTTCCAGGGTTATAAACAGGCTGATAGACAGGACAGTTAAGAACCATAGGACTCATCTCTGTTCCCCTATTGAAAAACATTATCTGTTGTTGTAACTGTGACTGGCTTAGGGTTATGAGGTGCCAGGACATAAACTCATGGTATCTTCATGACCATGAGAAGCAAGATGGTTTTTGTTGGGTTTTGTTGTTGTTTGGTTGCTTGCTTTGTTTTGTGGACTGGAACACTACTAAGAGACAATTCTGATCTATGTCTACAAAAAAAGAAAACCCTTTCCCTCAGCTCCCACCCGATTTCAGAGAATTTTCTTGAAAATTACTATTTTGGTCCACTAGCCAAGTTGTGTTTTGGAGCAGAAGAGAATAATTGTAATAGGCACAGACCACTTGGCAACCCTGACTCTCCCCAAACATCCAGATTAGCCTGGAAGGCACTTGCATGAACAAATGAGGCTGCACTCACCCAACATGCTGCCAGCTGGATGTGCAGAGAAGCAGCCATCAAGCCTGGGACAGTTGTCTTATAATGAAAAGATGGTGTACAATCTTAAAGAACACCTAAGGGCACTTTGCTTAATTAGTTTAGGAGAAGTGGTTGCGGACCTTAACATCTTCTGGATGTTAATGTCAATTTGAATTCTATCACAAAGAATGTAAATTCTACTATGTAATTTTGATATGTGAACCCTTTCTCTTCACATCTGCCTTGGCAATGTCAGGACTGACACTGGAAGAGGTAGTACTCTAGTACTAGTGGAGCTGGAAGCTCCTCCTGGCAGTAGGTTTCATTTTTTTCTGTAGAAGGATGGTTGATTGGAAGTAAAGGTAAACATAATAGACCAGATGATTCAGTTTCCAATTTATTCACTGATTTACATGCTTACCTTGTCAGCCATGAGACACTCAACTTCTGCAGTCCCACACAGACCAAGGATTCCATCAGTCTTTTTCAGTATCAAACCTGAATTGCTATGTTCAATGGGAGTCAAGTGCCAGCAGTCTGTGCACAGTGTATATGCTTTGTTTTCCCACACCCAACCTCTGTAGCTCTAACAACACAAGGATGAAGAATGGCTGATCCATGTTCTGCTTCAGCGAGGCAGGACTGGTGTTCCTGAAATGTGCAGCCATGCTTTTGCGGTGAAGGTCCACACAATTTATATTCCACAGCTAAGGAGTATTTTTGGATTCCTTGCTGATTCTGAGCTCTCACATAAAAACATCTGCTAATAACATATTTTATCATCTCCATTTGGAGAGGTAATTCTATCCCATCCTGGCAGACAATGACCAGGCCTCAGTTATTCATGTCTTCCTTACCTCCTCACTGGGCTGGGAAATGTGATACGTTTTGGGCACAAAGCCTTTAGCCCTTATGCAATTCCAAGTACACCAGAAATCTGCAGTGCATCCCATCAACACCACGTGCTGGTGTGCACGTGTAAAAACCTTTCTAATGGTCTCTATTCAAGTTCCATGTAGGATCGTGGCTTTTGCCTTTGTTTTCAAAGAACTCTGTGGTTTGGATGCAGAACATTTAAAAGATTACCTGTGTTTCTGGGGAGGAAACCATCATTAATGCAATGAAGCTTTCTGCAGTAACAGAACATTTCATCTGGACAGAACAGACTAAACTTTCTCAGAGGTTAACATGAGATTCTGGAGTGAATTCCTCCAAGAACCACAGATCATCACAAGCCTTCACTATCTTCTACTCCCACTGCAAAGCACATTCTTTTGGTTTTGTCTCTTATGGTATAAATACACAGCAACAATAAAAATAAAACAGGACACTTGTTCCATCCACTAGGGAGAGGAAGAAAACAAACACCACCTGACAGATGTTAGCTGTGTCATTTGGGTATCACATAGCCACATGGATGATACTGAGATACAGGAACTTAGCATAAAAGAGGTAGAATAGACCAATGGTGTCAATTTCAATTCATGTTGCAACAGAAACCCATCCAAGAGTGCCAAAGTGAGCTCATGCACATCACAGAACAGCTGTAAATCCTAACTGAATCTAGTTAAGAAACAAGTAGTTCCATCAACCGCATTATTTCAGGGTAGATTCTCTGCTGTTACAAAGGTATGCTCTAAAGCTTCAGCCTTTGTCCCAGTCAAGATACTCACAGCATCTCAGACTTCCACCCAGCTCTGTGAAATCTAGTAGGGATAAAGTCTTTGAGACTCCTAGCTCTCTCTCAAATTTGGCTGAAAGTGGTCTCTTCTGGTTCTAAATATCTGGAGGAGTTAAGGGACACAGAGACGCTGATTACACAAACTGCATAGGAAATTGAGCTAAAACCTCTAGACAGAAAAATTACAAAGTTCTGTAACTGTAAAGCCAGATTTATTAGAACAGGAAAACAAGATAGAAAAATAAAGGGTTCCTGTAAACACAAGGTAAAAGAAGCTAACATTGCACTGGAAGCTGAAACCTTGTGATAACAGACCTAGTAGACATATATTTAACAAGCAAACCACCAAGAGGTAAACATATGTAAACTGTGCTTTTGCTAACTTTGGAAATAACTGTCAAGGACAAGGATCGCAGCATGATTTTTGTTATAAATAACCCAGCAGCAGTTTTTTAGAGAAAATATAACTATTTTCTCTGTCTCTCAAAATATGTCTCAAGCTATAAAAACAGTACAAATCTTTTCCTAAGATCAAAACCACATTATTAGATCCAAACAGGTAAAAAATCTAAGCAGCTTAAGAATGCTATTAAAATAACTCTATTAAAAATGTACCTATATTAAAAATATTTCCTCTAAAGGCTGTTCTAGCCAGAAGTTAAATCTTTAAACAGTGCTTACAATATACAAATTTAGAGGTTTTCAGACATAACTATTGCTATATTAGAGGCTGGCTGACTTAAGAACCACCCAGTCATGCAGCCTTGTGGTATTTCTGAGCAACGCCATAGGGAACATGAGCAGCGATGGTGCCCAATTTCTGTGCTCCTTCGATGTGAAACATCTGGTCATCAAAGAAAATGTGAGGGCGGATTTTCACGAGGATCGGGCCTTTAGGAGCTCCTGCTAGGAAAAGTGCCTCATCAATCTCCAGCCCCCAGCTACGAAGAGTCTTCAGCACTCTGGCTCCAGAGCTTGCTGCGCTTCTGGCTGTGACCAGGAAGGTCCTTATGGGACAATTTAATCGTTCGTTTTTGGCATAGAACTTCTTCTGGAGTTTCCCTAGGTCTTCCAGAAAACCTTTCAAAGGACCCTAAGCAGGAAATACCAGAAGCATAGTTAGTATTTGTCCACAGTACCCTAAATCATTCTTTTGATTTCTTCCACATTACTACTGACATACAGGATTCCTTCCCTAATGATGTGCTACTCAGCAAATTCTCTATGTGGAAAAAACTTAAAACTATAATCCTACATGGTATGATCAGTAAGAAACTGATTCTCACTAAGGCTTACAAGATCTCTTACAATACGAAGTCGTAACTGTAGTTTTTAACTTTAATAAAACTTTCTTTAAAAACACTTAACTCTTTTTACTATGAACCATGAGATCCATTTTTTTTTCTGAGCAAGAAACAGCAAAAGACACAGTTACATAGACATCAATAAACTCTTTCCAGATTAATGACAATATTAGAATTACACTCTGATTAAAAGAGGTGACAGTTTGGATCAAATTGCAATATATTGCACTGTCCAGTACTTTCATAAATCAAGCTTCTATTCTGAATTTGTACCATTTTTAACAATAGCAGAATTGGTTTTTTTCCAGTTTAAGCTAATGTTTAAATATTTGTGGTTTTTAGGCAAATGGCATAGTTCTGCTTGGGAATAAGCACAGATATCACGCTGTTTCAATAACCATATATCCCTGTGCTTAACATTGCCTACACAACCCAGTAAAAAAAATAATCAAGGAAACCAGTAATAGGCTTTCCTTTTCCTAATGATACAATTAAAATACAACTGCAAGTCACTGTCTTATATATGCAGTTTGCTCAGTGAAGTGGGAGACCTGGTAAAAGGACTGCAGTGGCGGACTCTTTTATGTCAAACATGCATTTTGAAGATTATCCTTGAAAAGGAAATAAATAGAGCAATCAGTTTCCACAAAGAATACACAAAGGGGAATATGGAGAAATATAGCAGCAATTAATATTAACAGATGTTTTGAAAACTCACTGATTCAAGAAGTACCAACCTGTGCAAGAGGCTTATTTTCATTCAGCTGTTCATGTTCAAAAAATCTGTCTAATCCTTGCTCTTTGACAATCTGTTCTGATTCATCAGAAAAGAGAACTGCGTCCCCATCGAATGCCACCCTCAACTGTGTATCCGAGTAAGCAACATCTTTGTTGGCAGTGAACATTGTAGCTGATGCGATGCCTGAAAATGCATGAGAAAACCTCAGAGAGCATGTCCTACAAAGTCATTCATTAAACTATGAGCAGTTCAGTTCCAGCAACTTATTTGTGGTGACCTTCATAAATGGTGAGCAGAAACGAGCACTGAAGCTAATCAGTAATGGCTGTTCTGTAACACTAATGCACAGAAGCTATCCCAATGGAGTCAATTTTTAGACATGCTTCCTTCCAATTCCATATAAGAATATATAGAAACAGAAAAAACAGTCCCCAAGGTGTGCTGCAAATGAGACAAACCAGGAAATTCCAAGGAGACCATTGAATCAAACTATTTGCTATTTTTTTAACAAAACATATAAGTTGATATCAAAGAGATAACCCTACTCAAAGTTGAATAGAGGTGAGCAGATATATATGGGAGTTCATTTCTTGTAGTATGGAAGAAGACAGAAAGGTGTGACAAAGGTAGAGGGTGAATAAGTTCGCAGAATCATAGAACAGTTTGGGTTTCAAGGCACCTTCAGTGGTCATCTAGTCTAACCCCACTGCAATGAGCACGGGCATCTTCAACTACATCATATTGCCCAGAATCAACCGTAAGTTGTCATTATCAGCAGGCTGAAGGGTCAGAGAATAACAGTACAGAGAAATAACCTGATTTTATTTGATTAGGTAAAAATAAGTGATAAATTTGCACGATACAAAGTTGTGACTTTCTTGATGAAGCAGCACTAATTTCTGTGAAAGACACACAATATGTTAATTTTTTAACAAGCACAACAGAGAGATGAGATAAGAAAAGAAACTCAATTCAAACCTGCTTCTATAGCTTCTTGCACTTTTTCAGAGTCTGCTGAGAGATACAAGTTTGTAAGATAGGCAGTCAGGTAACCAATAGGACTTTTTCCTCCCGTCATACAGAAACGTTCAATTGTTAAACCTAAAGTAAGAACAGCACAACAAGGTGTGACTATGCCTTTACACTACAAACATGTAAAAGGAATCTGTGAAAAGGTACACTAGACTACAGCTGACAGTAAACTTAAAAAAAATTGTTCACTGTCATTTCAGCAAGTTAGGCTTAAACTGACTACAATGTTTGATCAGCCCTTCCTCCTTGAGGATTTAAAAAAATAAAATACCTCTTAAGATAGCAAAATAACTGCTGTGAAGGTGCATGTATGCGGGTGTTAAATGCCAAGCAACAAAAAGCTTAAGGACTTCTCAGAAAAGAAGACTCATACCTAACAGGTTAAATCCAGAGCTTTGGACCAAATTCTGTTCAACACTATCTTATGCTGACAGCCCAAAATAACTATCATCCTCTGAGCAATGCATGCCAGTATCAAATAAACTTCTCTTACCAAGGTCAGAACAGGAAAAATGAAATTAATTCATTTTATTATGTATCAGCAGGCAGTTCAACAAGGTAGTATTTATTTTACTTACCATAGTGATTGATGCTGTTTATGAGTCTCACTCCTACTTGGGCATGGTTATTAGTCATCAGGACAATATCAAATCGTTCTTCATCATCAGGGTACAGCTCAAGAAGTCGGGCATTGACATGCTCCAGCGCCTGCAGGTTAAAAATGTGGAAGTCAATAGACAAGTGGAATGTGCCTTATTTCTTAATCACGGTGGTTTTAGTGATAGGACAGTCCTGAAGGAAAATGTGAAATCCTTGAAAATTTAGTTTGATGAACTTGTTTTATTCCTTTCTGCTCTGCTGCTCCCAGTAACCATTTGACTGGGTTCACATGAAAGGAAGCAAGTAAGTTTCTTTTGATGAGTTATAGAATTTAACTTTGCCATGAAAATCTTTTTTCTGGGGGATACCATAATCATCCAGAATAAATCAATGTATTGCTGAACATTATCACAATCAGTCAAGTTTTTTTCTCGTCCACTTGAAACTTGGACTTTCTTGTTCACTTGAAAATTGCTCTTGTGAAATCAAGGAGAATGTGTAAAGGTATTTATACATGCAACTACTTGTTTTGCATGCATAAATGTGAATTTGGGCCACATACTTATGCAAAGATTTACTGACACAGCTCAGGAGGTCAGCTGTCAAAGACTGACTGTCTTTAAGTAACAAGTACAAAATCATACCCTGTCAATCATGATTACCTTGGCGATTTCTAACTGCAGTACTGAATAAGGAAGGTTTTGATTCATTTGAGATCTCTTTAAAGATAATGGGCCAGCATGTTATAACCACAGTTTGGCATTATTTCCTTGACCTTATATCTGCTCATCTCTGTATTCATCTGTTCTTTCTTCTTGTTCAGACTCTTACACCTTTGGAGTAAGACTTGCTTTTTGCTCTAGGTTTATACCTCTGCTTTGGGCTCTTGGCCCTTGAATGGAATTCTTCGGGATTATGGCAATAAAGTCAACATCATCAAACGGGTTAATTTTCATTAAGGTAGTTTAAAAGTCAGGCTAGTTATTAAGGATTAAAAACATAGATTTGATAATTAAATTCTCGGAATCTCACTTTAAAAAGCATGGCTATGTCATGTGGGACTGTGTTAGGAAAGCTCTAACTGACAGCCTCGTGTAAGGCCTAGGAAAAATCTCAGTATGCGGTCATAACCCATTTCTACTGCTAATAGTCTACTACATTGTCAATTTCTTAAAGTATCAGAAAATAGGGGGAGTAGAGGGGGGGATGTCATTTTTTGCCCAGTGCATGTACACTTTGCTGCCCAAGGAGATCCTGGCCTGTGATTAAAATTCTTAAGTGTTACAAGCATGAGATAAAATACGTTTAAGTTAGTATCATAAAGATTTCAATAAAAGAATCAAAACAAAAATATATTACTTTCTTTTGCCTTGTCTCCAAGTAGAAAGTGTCACCCAACAAATCCACAGGTCTCTAGCCTAATGATTCCTGTGACTAAGCCATTTATGAATCTTTTAAAAAATATAAAGAATCCAAATGCAAAGAGCATACCAGAAGGGAACAGAGATCAAGATGCATTTAGCTGGGCATAGCTAACAGCTCTGATTTTCAAAGTGTGAGGGGTTAAACAGTCAAATCTTGCTCATATTCAAAGTGAATTTGACACTGATATCTAAAAAATCTCTTGAAAACTGTCTGTGCTAGCAGAACTGCTATCTCTAGCTGCTACATATAGGAAAAGATGCAGTAAATTCACTAGTCAGCCTAGCTTCGCTGATGTACAAAGTGAAATACTCCATGATCATGCTTTATGTTAAAACCACATTTGCAATGCTTCTGCTATTAATGCTCTTAACAGTTATCTGTTATATTTGGAACAGCATGGGCATTGACGTAAGTAATTTTTTTCACTCTGTATTTCAAAAAAGTGACCAATGTGGAAAATGTTTTAAATTCCTGAGACTAAACCTGAAGTAATGAAAATATACTTTTAAAACCTGAATCTCTAGGCTGGTTTTCTTTGGCCATTTTTCTTACAGAATCATACAATGGTTTGGGTTGGAAGGGACCTTAAAGATCATCTGGTTCCAAGCCCCCTGCCATGGGGAGGGACACCTTCCACTAGACCAGGTTGCTCCAAGCCCTGTCCAACCTGCCCCCATGGATGGAGCAGCCACAGCTTCTCCAGGCAACCTGTTCCAGTGACTCGCTACCCTCACAGTAAACAGTAAACATCTTCTTCCTAATAATATCTAATCTAAATCTCTTTTTTCATCATAAAGCCATTCCCCCTTGTTATAACCCTACATGCCCTTGCAAAAAGTCCCTCTCCAGCTTTCTTGAAGGCCCCTTTTATATTCACCTTGTGCACTGAAAGCCAAATATTCCATTTCACTTCTGCTTAAACCCTGCCTCCCAGCTAGGGGTCTATTTTTTTTGCTGCTCCTCAAGCACAATTTCCAATGAAAGTAAGAAAGAGTAAGAAAGAATAAAGTAATTCGAACAATACAGAATCAAGAATGTCTTAGTCATGCTAGTGCTATTGTGAGACGTAAAAATGAAATGAGGCACCAAGATGATTTTTTTCCGTGATTTTGTTTCGTGTGCCCCGTGCCCAGCAGAACACGCAGGCTGCCCCGTACAGACCCCAGCGGTGCAGCAGGGAGCGCCGCGGGGCACAACCGCGATGCGGAGGGCGAAACTCCAGTCGCGGCGACACGAGCAGTTACGTGACCGCCAGCAGGC